AAAGCAAGTTGTAGTTGTTATTTTCATGCGTAACATTTCTTCTGGGGATGGATTATTTTTCCGCCGAGCTGCCGAAAACTTAGCGTCGCATGCGGTCGGTCGGGCGGCCGGCAGGATTTTGTATCGGCGCGCTTTGCATGTAAACAAGGACAGTCGGAGTTGTTTACATGAAAATTGTGTTGTGAAACGCCAGCGAGGTGTCTGATTTTCTACCAATGAGAACGTTTTCTTTGTGGCGTCATGGCGAGATCGACAATTCATCGTCAATTCACAAGATTGTGCCGACAATGGGGCCCGATCCATGCGATTAGCGGCTCGATCCACGCAAATTATAGGTGGCGCGCTGCGCCACCTGAGTTTAGGAATAAGTGGCGCCAAGCAAAATCAGGTGGTTCCGCTCCAGTGCCACCGGGTATTTCGAGCCCTGGATGAGTGATCATTTTACGATCGACAAGAACTTTTGATGAATGAAACAGCTGTGAAATCTCACTGATGGCGATTTGTTTTTGAAAATTTGTCTCTGTGTATGAAAGATATGAACACGCTTCTATACATGTCTTGATATTTTTTGACGTGATTTGTACTAGTTATTTGTAGCAGGAATGTTACTAGTGCCGGGAGAAGTTGGGAAGGTAGCGGCTTGATAAATTTTCGTGAGCAACGAGTTTACGAAGCAAGTTCCGCCTAGCTCGAGCGATACAGCTCCGGGGATACAACTCGAGCCCCGAACGAGACCCTCCCCCCGTAAAGTTTCGGCCGCTCTGGCCGGCCGCGGGCCGCTCGTAGAAGCAAACGCTGACTCGTGCACTAGAAGTCTGCACAGGAGGCTAAGAAAGAAGCAGTTTTCAGATCCAGAAAGCTAGCAGAAATTTGTCTGAAGTTCGTCAGAAGAAATGAGCCGGTGAAGTTTGTGAGAAAATGTAACGGAGCTTACTTGTTTTTCTGAAAATTTAGACGAAAGTAGCCGGCGCAAAAATTTGAGTAGGCGGCGATTTTCGCCGGTAGCCGGCTTGTTTTGAGAAGGCTGCAATACTGAGATGATTTTCACCTGAGCGAAGTGAGGAAAGTTGTGTAAAGTGCTTTTCCCAAGAGCACAAGATCGGTGGCATGTCAGGACTCGAACCCGGGACCTCTTGATTCCGAGTTGAGCACTCTGCCACTACGCCACACGACCCCACACTATGCCACACGACCCCACACATTTTTTTACCAACATCAATACACTTACAAGGCATTCTATGAATTAAATACACCTGGAACCACATTTGGATGCAACTGTTTCTGCTTAACTGACAATGTACCTTAAGGGGAGGGGGTAATGGTGTGAACAATAATAATCATTTTCAATATCCCCCTCCAAGGTGACATTATCAGTGCATCCAACTTCTTTTCTCAAATTTCCTACTTTTGAAAATTTCAGGTTATGCTGAAGTATACATTTCCCTTTAGTTTTAAATGATGTAAAAAAAAATCAATTACAAAACAACTTTCATCACATATCATAGGTCAGTTAAATCTGCTAGCAAAAAATGGACAATGGAAACACAAGGTGGATACTTTCTCTTGAAATATTCTTTGGAATGTAGGGTTGACTTAATCTAGGGACACCGTGTAAGGGGGCAGCTCTAAAGACTGATCTTATTTGTGTTCCCCAGAAATAGACAAGGTGTGTAAGGTTACAGGTGAGTATGTCTTGGGTCACTTCCTTACAATAGACAGCTCCTCAGCATGGAATCCTGAGGACAAACAAGCTAGTATACAGATCGTGCCAAGGACTCTGTTGTGGAGGATGGTACAAGATGTGGTAAACATCAAAACATGGCATCACATCCTCTCCGCAGTAAAATTGGGCTTTCTCACCTGTGTGACTTGAATTTAACCCTCAAAAATGCTACTTTACAAATACTGAAAATGGATCTTAACATGTCAATATATCATTATCAATTTCTGGAGACTTTTGATCACAAATAAAAGCAAAACTTTCTGTGGAATGAAACATTAATTATGACATTTTGAGAAGCATTTCATGCCTAAATTGCAGAATCACAACACGGAAGTAGTTTTACTCTCTCCATGCACTGCTGTTGACTTCATGATTTCATAGACTGTCCACACCAATGTTTTGAAAGGTACTAAGCTAAAGCCAAAGCCTAAGCCAAAAAGTTAGAACTTCTCTTTACACAGTCCACATTCTAAATTTTTACCTCTGTAGGTTACTGGGTCACCATATCAACTCAAGTACAAGACCTACGCCCAAGACTTTGAACCTCACCTCACTGCATAATTATTACTTACACTGCTGACAGTGTTTTCTGATGGAGAGCTACTTGTTTGGAATGTCCAAATTACAGAGTACACAAACAAGAGATCTTTTAGAACTGAACCAAGGAGGCCTTTGATGTTTAGCAGTGGGTCAATAGCTAAGAGTTCCTATTATTAGTTCTACTCTAGATAATGTTTCATATGATTACTGAACATACAACTGTTTGACTTTTTCATACTCTCTCATGGTTCTAGCAGAGGGAAAATATAGGGTACTGTGAAGCCTAGCATTCAACCGAGGTAATATACAAGTGTTACAGGTGTATCAAAAATACCAGGTGACCTTCATAATTCACACGAGTTACTGACATGTGATTGAACAACAATGTTGGAACTAAACATTCAAGATAAGGCCACACCAATTTAATTTCTTGGTTAACGGATTTGCCCGCTTCATTTTTTTCTGATTTGCAAATAAAAATAAAAATTCAGAATCAACAGCAAAATGGTCATATTTCCCTTTCCTCCCTTTTCCTAGTCCCTTTCCTCCTAGTTGTTACAGTTATTCAATCTTTCAATGCAGTGGTATCATTAAAAGTTCAAAATTCATTTAAATTTTCAACCAGCCTGGTGTGTTGACTTAATGGCTCCATTTACCATTTTGGGCCATAATAGGATGCCTAGGCCTGTTTTTATTTTTATTTTTTTTCACCCGCCCACTCCATTATTTTTCTAGAAAAATCCGTTAACCAAGAAATTAAATTGGTGTGGCCTAAGTCTTAATTAACGTAGAAGGGATTGAGTTTTAGAAATATTTTGAGCTTACCAGTCTTTCTCCAGACAGTATCTCCAGCAGTTTGAGTAGCATGCGGCCATCCCGCAGGTCTGTGTACAGGTCTGTGATTCGGCAGTTCACGCGAGCCAAGTGTGAGTTCACCCATTTGGTAAAGGTTTTCTTCTGGACCATCTCACGCTCATCTGAAAACATAGTTCAAAACAATTCCATTTGTCATTTAAGAATGGTGAACCAAGTTGTAACTATTAGGAATCAAATCATAACAGTTCATTAGTAACTCCCCCCCCCCGCCAACACCACCACCATATCTACATCAGTAAAAATAGCAATCATTTTAGTAACCTCACGTCTATTCTAATTTCTATGTTATATCTTTTGTTCTTGTTGTGTAGAATATTTTGAGTCCTGATAATTTTCAATCTATGTGCAATATTTAACAGATTGACAACTGTCTTTATAAATTGTCATCATCTTTTGAGTGTCATTTATTTACTTTCTGACATTAAAGACCTGCTTTGTTGAATGTTGTGTTAAAGGCATCCGATGCGATTTTTGGGCAGCAAAACTGGAAATATTCTGAATAAGGCAATCTTTACGATATTGTCACATACTGCTTCACATTAGCACACATTTAAATCAGCATTTAATACTTTGGGTATTTAAAACTGCAGAAACAAGCCCCAAGACGAGTCCTTTATTTTCTGGGTGGTACCCTAAAAATCAGCCCAAGACCCTTCCAGTAACCATTTTCCGTCAGAATTTTGGAATATTTTGCTCCATGAGGGTCAACATATATTGAGATAGTGTGGTTTCAACTTAGTACGTAGATAAAAGACTAGAATATTGACTTTTTAAAAAATCGGGTTTCCAAGCCCTAAAAACTGCACTGGATGCCTTTAAGAAAGGCACAACATGGGAGTTCATGCACTACTGTACAATTATCTAAATCTAACGTGACCTTTGAAGCATGTTTGAAGACCAGGGTTCACATCTCATGCATGCATTACTGATCGTATCAGTCAACCCCATACCAAAGCACTACAGAACTTCTCTGATGTTTCAGGGAAGCTTGCCTAAGATAACCTTACATAAACAAGAATCCCAGTAAACAACTGTCTGTCAACAACAATATTTACTCATCTCTTCACCTGCAGCATGGGTGGCTTAGCCATAGCCAGAACAAATGTTTGAACATGCATGGTTGTAGGATCACTATCATACCACCGCAACTCTGTCAACACACAGGCACCACAGGTCTATACTCTCCAAACCTAATATTGGTGAATGAATCCCTTTCATCTGTTTTTAGGTCAGGAAATAGTCAATAGAGGGAGAAGTGGAGCTATCCTGTTTCAGGTCCTCATGAAGGGTAAAAACTACCTACTAGTTTCTTTGGTAAGTATGGAATCAACTTATCTATGGTACCTTGGTATAAAATTTTAACAAACTTCTTTGTTTTCTTTATATTATCAGTCAATGAAAGTGTATAAAGGTGACCAGCTGGCCTATATAAAGGCATGTTTATTATAGGAATATGTTGTCTTAATATTTTTCTTTCTTTGAGTAGGATATATGCAGATGAGCTAATCAAACTGAAGTATCCTTTACTTTCCGACACTTCTGATACCAATGAAAATAACTTAAGTACAACTGGCTTATGTTCAACGTTAGCTTTAAGAAGAATCTTTATGTTTATTCTTGAAAGAAACAAAACAAGACGGAATCTCGCCCTTTGAAATGTAATTGGCACACAACTACAACAACACTTGACATCTCTTACAGGTCCAATAGCAGAAATAGAGCAAACTGCTCTGAAAAAATAATTGGCCAGGTCACTGCTTTTCTCAAATCACAGCACCTAAAACAGCCTACACCCCTACCTTGGTGAAAGAGACATTGTCTTTATGTTCCTCACTTGTGTTTACCTAACAAATGGGGGGAACCGTATACCTTTCAGACCAGATAAAGATATCTAGGGTCCATCCTTTCTTAGAGTCAGACAGTCTGTTTTTGTGTCCCTCTTCACAATCTGGTGTCCAAACAACATGTAGCTTCAGCTGTCTTATATGGCATACTTTACTGCATCCGATGGCTTCTTACCAGGTAACTGCTCCTACTCAGGTGTCACCTGTTGTTAGTCTAGTACAATCCTGGAGCTGTTTCAGGTAAAATATTTCTATAATCGTTGGTACCACAATACACCATGTGTACTTTAAAAACAGATAGGGAAATGTGGTTGATACACCTATTTGCTTGGAGGGAGCAGACAGGAAATGGTCAATTTCTGCCTGACACAAGAAAAAAAATCACTTGCGTTTTTATCAATCAAATGCCACACCTTCCTTTCTTCAGGGTTTGTCAACATGAACAACCCTTCAAGGGTTATGATTGGTCTTAATTATGTAGGTAGCATGCCTACAAAAACACTCAAGGCACTAACTATTCATTGAAACCCTGGTGATAGTCATCTCCAGTGGGATATTTGGCTAATGACAGGAGGGTCATCTTATCCTTCTGGCAGGCTAAATCACTACAGAAAATGCCGGGCATTCTACATTTTCCTGTCAGGAAACACAGAATGTCATAGTTGCGTATGAAATATTTCTGATTCCTCAGGAGGTGAAAGTTCTGGGAGAGGGGGTTGTTAGAGGGGTTGTCCTTAATAGTGCTATTGGTCAACCTGCGTCAGAAGACTTGGGCATTGATCAATAGGCCCTGCGAAACGGAATGAAAATAAAATACCAATGCCCTTTCACAACCATCAAGTCAATCGTAAAACGCACCCTACGCAACACAAGACACCTGTACCACCACCGACTGTACATTAACAGTCTTTCCTAGGCGTGTTTACATGCAATGTGAGGCATTCCCCCAGCTCATTTGCATCACAACACATTACGCCTGAGCACATAATGGTGCCACACAGGTAACGTGCCTTCGTAATGACACACTGCAGAAAGTACATTTTGACTAAAAAAAGTCCAAAGTGATTCAAGTAAGGCTGTGCAGTGCCCCATGCAGGCATGTTAAGGATGGGTTCTGTGTTTGCAGTGGATCCTTTCTGTTTGCCCAAGACACAGCCTATGGTGAACAGAGAACATGTTTACCTCTAGCACCACTTCACTTGACAGGACGGCCCCTGTGATTTTACCTTGCAAGGCCTTGTACTTGTGCTCCATTTCGGCCTCCAACTCTTTAGCCTCCTGTAGATCGGCCATGCTGCTCCTTCTCGAGCTATCCGCTGCGCTACTCCGTCTGGAGCTGTTTCTGCTCGCCATGGCGAGTCTCTTTACACAAGGATATCTCAGTAGCGCTCCTTGAATTCCTTACTGAAACAGAGAGGTTCTGGTCTACGAGAACGGGTTCCCGCCCCGAGTTCCCGTAGTTTTCACGAGGTGCTTGCGAGGGGCACCCCACAGTCAGGTAGGTAAGTGACCTTGTCTGGCTTCCAGCACCCTCGCTAATCCTCTGTCCTCAACTTTATATCGGACACACCTTCTTTTCCCTGCGGGTAAACTTCCTCCGTGGTGGCTGCACCTTATGTGGAATTTCGATGGCTGGCTCGGCGCTGTCAGTCATTTTCACTGAGACGTATCTTGCTGACCCCCTCCCTCATTAGCATGTCTTGCCTATGAATGCAATTGGGTGGGGCCTCTCCTCAAGGCTTTGCCCTCAAGCCTATCCCCCATACTAAGCACCCCCTTTGTTGTCCCACACCCAAGATATAATTGCAGCCGGCGGGCGGTGTGCAGTGATTTCAAGTTCTGCATTCATTCCTTTACTCACTGCTATTCTGTTGTAAGTTCTTCTTTTCCTGTAACATCCGACGCAAAGCAAGCTACTAAACCACTCGGACATCGACTCAAACAGCTGCGTGCAAAGTTCTTAACTTGGTAAGTACGTGTTGATCACTTGCTTTCGTTGGGTTTCAAGGCTGGATGAACAGGTTTGCCAATGCCAAGCAACTGTGTTTGCCCTTGCTGGGTGACGCTTCTATAGTACTCATTTGTCACGGGTGACAATCGCCTGTAACATGTACACTGCATGTCTAAAGGGCTTTCCAACGAAAAGGAAGCCATAACTTTCAAATGACACATGTTGGAGGGAACGGTTCTGGTCAGCAAACAACGAAGATTCGTCCTAAATACCAAGAATACCCCGTTCCACCTCCAAAACATTCCACCTACTGAGACTTCATTCAGGGTGGACGTTATTCTTGGCTTTTTCAATGGCAGAAATATTTTTAAAGTAGTTGACCCTGACGAAAAGGCTAGCTTGATCAAAATAACACATAGTAGTTTTGGCAGTCTGTAAAACCCAAACTATTGTCGAATACATCTCAAAAAGCTACTAGAAAAAATATACATAGACAAGACTGGCAGATAGCTTCTCCTGTAGTCTTTTCAACCACTTATGTAACCTTTTCAGCCAGGTGGTCAAGACATCTAAGATCTTTTCCCTTTCCACAAAGATAATGGAGATAAAATATGACAGACTTCAGCACATTTTTTAAAGATCTCGAGATGTCACAATGACATCTGCAAGTAAATATTAGTCAAAGTCAAATAACACACATCAGGGCTTGAAATATCACCTGCATACGCAGGTTAGTGCAGGTGAAATTGGACCAGTACAGGAAATCATGATGTCTACCTGCACCTAACCTGCATGACCCATGTACTGGGTTAACCTATGCATGACATAAAGTAGGTGTATGTGGATTTTTATTTGCTGCATTGACTGTCACCACCTATGGAGCATTGATTAAAGAAATAATGGCAATATTTTCTAAATAGATGAAGTTATATAAAAATTCCTAACTATGAATTTATAGAAAAATAATGTACTTTCTTTGCCATGTAAAAATATCATGCAACACAGAAAGGTAAATCACACATGTTATATCAAGGTACTTGTAAACCTAATACAACTCAATAATTCAAAAGACATGTCACTTTTCTAAGTGTGACCTTGGCTCAGACCCAAGTTTTACATTGAAAATGTAATTTACAGTTTGACTCAGGCCTAGGAAAATAAATGTTGTGTTTCCTGTTTCCCGACCGACCCTAAAAAAAACCGCCGACCCTAGCCTTATTTTTGTGTGGACCCCTGCATATTGCTGAACCAAAACATTTTGCACGACGCTACCGAGAGAATCGCTGTCATTGGTGGAACATCGGGCGCCCCGCTAGCGTTTTGAAGTCGTGTAAACAACGCTAATAATTTGTCTGATTTGTTTGTAAAACAAAGCCATCGACTCCGAAAATAAGTTTAAAAGCCGATACATTTACGAACTAATCGTAGAAAATTCCCTACCGTACTGCACCATCAGCATGCGGCGGCCGCAAAAATTCGGCAACGCGAAAGAAAAATGTCTGGTCCATGATAGCAGTATTTCTCATAAAAATAATGTATATGATTTATTTTTCCCCCTTTGTCGGTCTTTTAGTCCCAAAACGTCTAAAAAAGCGGAAATTTGCCCATAAAACCGGACGAGGAAAGGTAGCTATCGACGTAAACAAATTATAAGCACATGGCGAAAATCAGCAAAATCGGCAACGGGACAGAAAAATGCCTGGTCCATTTATCGATATTTACCATGAAAATGTCGTCTGTGGTGTATTTTTCCTCTGATGTGAGTTTTTAGGTCGCAAAACCTCTAAAAAAGCAGAAATTTGCCCACGAAAACGGACTGGCAAGGCATGGGGGAGGGCGCTGTTGACGCCTGCATGACCCCCAAAGGTTGAAGGTCATAGGGCACGTCCATTGCGCAATAACCTTAAATCGCCGATTTAGCTAATTTTTTGGGGTTTCAAATTGATACAATCACACTATCGATTTTTAGGCAAACAAAGGGATAGAAACCAATTAAAATTTTGTGCAGATTATTTTTTTTTTCTTTAGAATTCTTTTTTGTTTCTTTTTTTTCTCCCAAATCCCTGGGAGAACCCTGAAAACCTGTAGACTTGAATCAGGACCTGAATCTGAATTTAGCCCTGCAAGGGCTAGGGACATCTGTTAAGTTCTTCGAGCTGATCGACCGTTTAAAGCTCCATGATCTGACACCTGAGTACCTGAGTGATGAAATATAATATTGCACAATCGATTTTTCATCATGTTCTCCTTATATAAACACAGCAATCAGCAAAGTCTAAAAAAAATAAAAAATAAAAATAAAATAAGATAATCCCTACCTACCGACCCTAATTTTTTCTGGACTGAAACAGGAAACACAACTTTTTTTTTCCTTGGCCCCATACATATTACTAAAAAGTGACTCATTTTATCACATAAGCACAAAAACTGTAGAACAGCATGTTAAGAGTTTACTTCGACACAACCTTTAAAATTTTGGTTTAAATGTAGCTGAATTAGAAAGATGGCTGCCATAAAGAGCCAAACTGCACACCGGTGACAAGTCCCTATTGCAACCAAAATGCTCAGGCTGAATCAACACTACAAACTGAATGCACGGAATGTTAGCTCCTAACTCTGCCACTAAACTAGGATTTACGCAAGTCTACAAGATGTATATTATCAGATATCTAAAGGCACAAGCAGCAAAGATTTAAGAGGCATTCAAGCACCCCTTCGAGGCAGAGATTTTTTACATCCAAGCAACAGTAGACTTTCCCTTCAAGTCACATAAGCTGTAGTCATTTTGATCAGAGATAAATCCCAATGATACATCCTATCCACCATCAGCATTAGTTTCTGGATGTAGAACATGAATGGCTATTGGCTACAAGAATGTTTCTTTTCATCTGAAATGCATGTGTAAGCTTTTGTACAGCATGAAATGGATGAGAACTCATCCTTTGAATGGATTTATTCCTTGTCATTAGGTGACACACTTTCCTTGAATCTCTTCACAATTTTGCCATACCGGAGTTTTATATGTATCTGACATATCTAAAAGATAAACTTGGGTTAAAAGACTCCAAGAGCCATAAGAAGTGATTGTAGCTGGAGGCATCTTCTGCCTAACTGCACAATCACATTTCCTTACCATGTGTAAGATATGCCTAACTGATCAATTGCAGATAGGCAACAGTCTCTCCAGACAGAAATAGATAGCCACTGAACCTTTTATGATGTTGTTCTGAGGACTGATATGCGTAATTCCAACAATTACCTCTTAGGGCTTTATTTCCTTTAATGGCCAAGATGAATATATGTTTTAAGAACAGGTCTTCTTGTTTTGTTAACACATCTACTATTTTCTACATTTCTACTTGCTCTATTTTCTTACTTTCTTTTACTTTCTTTTAATAACCCTATGACTTCAGAACAATATCTTACAAACGCTGTATTAGTCCCCAGAACTGTGGGCAAGTGTTCTTTTTCGTTGCTCAATCAATTCAAGAAGTAAACGAGGTCATTACAAGTAACCTTTGACCTCTGAAACAAGCTGAGCATACCACATGCTGGGGGTTTCTTTCAGCTCCAAATGATGATTACATTATAAAGCAGCTATTGTTATGTATGGTACATGGGTGAGTTAAAATGTGCTTTCCTAAATAGCAGATTTGGGCTATATTATACCATATCGCTTGCATACTTTCTGAACTATAGACCACGCCTTTTTGTGAATCCTTTGAGACTACAAATTGCTAACTTGGCTACCTAACAACTAAACTATTCCAAACATGAAACAACCGTAGCAAAAACGCCCTCACAAAGCATGGTCAACCCACACTGGGAACAAACAATGCAATATTTACATCGATTTAGAGAGCAACATATACACTCAAGGCGCAATAAACTTTTTTTCCCTGCATACCTGCACAGGAACAGGTAACACTTGAAGTAACTTGCACCAGGCAACTTTGTGTATCTATGTATATATGTATGCATTAAAACCTAACACTTGTAAAGCAAGTTTGTTGTAAATGGGCAAAGCCAGGAAGGTCTCTTCATTTTTCAGAAAGGATTTTGATCCATTTTGTTCCTATCCCACTTTAGTGCAATGTCTTGAGGGAGTTATTAAATAAGAACAATTGGCTAAGATAGTTCTAAACCTAAGGCATAAGATAAGAACAGCTGGTAGGAATCTGTCTAGACTGTCTCTAATTATAACCAGTAATGTGAAACTGCAGGGGCAGTGGGGAACTGTGGTAGGGTTATGACCTTGACAGATGACTGTGGCAGTGACTCAGATGTCCTACTCCCATCAAACATGGCTTCCTGAGAGTACCAACCACGCCCCCCTTAGCCACAGCTCTCACCAGAGTAAACAAACCATGTCAGGTACACTGGTGAGAGCCATTACACAATGTTTACACATGATAAACACAATAAACTAGGATAAAAAATGGTGTCTGCAATAAATAACTCTAGTTGAAAACAGAGAACTGGACAAAAATAGAGACTATGCAACCATCTTGACCATGGCAAGATAAGCAAATATTAGCAACATTTCGAATCCTGGCGACTGCTAAGTGGTGGCAGGTCATACAAAGGTCACAGGCAATCTTTTTCACCCGCAAAGGCCAAAGGGCACCAACTCCATCTAACAGCTATGCTAATCATGTCTCTGCTTCCTGGCTAACAGAAGCAGGCCTCAAAATTAACTTTTATTCTTATTGTCCCAGCACTGTCCCAAAAATAAATTTCAATTGTCCTGAAGTGAGGAAGAACTGTCCCAACCTGTTTTTTCGGGAAGTATTGTATGACTTCAACTTGAAGTCAACTTAATTTTGCTGACGTTCTGACTCCCAGGTGCACTATAATTGCAGAGTTAGACAGGATTTTTTGGGGGGAAGGGGGGCTTTTCCAAAGCCAAAAGCCAGGAAGTATGCCAGATGAACTGACATTCTAATGTTGATTATTTTTCTATTGTCCCAAAAATGTCCCAGAGTGTCTTTTTAGTTGTCCTGGCCAAAATTTTAGTGGTCAGTGGCCATCGGGACACCATTAGTTTCCAGCCCTGAGAGGTACCAAATTGCTCCGGTATCAAACCTGGGGAGCAGTATTTGAGGAGTTGAGGTATGACTGGACACTCACCGGCCAGGGCTTTGATCCTGGAGCGCTCGAAGAGACGAGCGGAGCTGTTCTCGTCCCAGTCATCGATGTCGTGTTGCACCGACTCCCCCCAGCGTTGGTTGATGTCAGTCGTCATGGTGCCGTGCTGTTAGCTACCAGTGTACACCGCAACACCACAACTGACTGTGGAGTGGCTGAAACAAAGGAAGAGAAAATTCACCACCAATTCAAGATGCTATTTCTTCCATATTTCCATTGAATGTAAATACAGTACAACACGAATGTAAATACAGTATGACACGAACCAAAAAAAAAAATATCTAGATGGTAAATTTTTACAAACATACTTTCATTGCCACTCGCAATATGTTTAAAATCCCCCACCAAAACATCATGTCTCAAATAGTCAATATTTCTCTTGCTGGGTCATAGGCTCTTTATCAGAGTAGCACCTCAACAAATGTGCAGAAAGATAAGCCCACATTCACCAAGTGAGGCAGGGATGACATGTATCATTCTAGGCTTGATCTCAAAAATTGTTGGAATGAGATTGAGAAGACACTACTGGCCATACATAACAGTCCTTTTTATTACTTTATTAAAGCTTCAAAGGCAATCTTAAAATGTTCTTAATGAACAAGGGTAAACACCACTTCTAGGCTCAGTTGTATTCAACTATAATCAAATTAAGTTCACATATTGTCTTGACTTGCTTTAAAACATTACCTTCACAATTATAATACAACATACCACTACATATCTTCCTCATCTCCTAACTAACCTTCTCTGGAAAAGCCCCTGGTAACTTGAAATAAAACACATGTTTCAACCCATAAAGCTTGCTAGCTGTCTTGTGTCAACCTGTCAACAGCACAGGTCTGGCTAGAACATAAAAGTAAGGTCACACAGCCATACAGCATTAATCAGCAATACAGACCCCTTATTACATTCCCCTAGGTATGCTGTAAATGTGTTCTCATTGTATCATTTATATTCATGTAGATGCTAGCTATGCTTTATTATAGCTATCTATAATTTTCAAAAGTATCCACATGTCATCGTTATCTTGCAATGGTCCGAATATCATGAGTCAAAAACCAAATCTACACTTGAAAAACATAGGGACTTTAAAATTACAGTATGAAAACCACTCCAATCTACCCCTTTAAATTACTATCAGATGTTCCTTTTCCAAAGAGGACACATCTTTCCTTCCAATACACCTGAGTAAACAGATAAAATATTACTTGTATTATAAATACGACAGTATGGAAACCAATTTTTCCCAAGCACTCACTGACTGTAACAACTCTTGTGTTTGGTAAGTTGTTTTGTAAACATGTATTTTTTTCAAACATTCCACTAGTGTTAGTCAAATACAAAAACTGTAATTGCAAACAATGCCCTACTAAAACTGTAGATCTGTAAGTAAACAAATTCAGTGATGGTCCTCTGTAGTCCCAGCTCTAATAACGGGTGATTATCTCATCAATCATACACACAATTGAGTGGTACCATAAAAGAATCCAGCATAATAGCAGGTTGAGAGGCATTCAATCCAATAAGGGTTTACAACTTGCAAAATGTAAACAATGCATTCAAGGAGAAAGTAAGCATTTCTGAAGAAAAAGATTTATCACCTACAGCTGTCGTTATCTGCTACACTAATTACTTAACTTTCGTCATGTCATTTCAAATGAATAACAACTTCATCACTAATCAGTCTTCTCCTTACAAGCAGGTATAAATAAATGTGTTTAACTCTAAAGCCCTAAAAATGGGCACTTGCATGTAAATTAGAAAACACAAGAGGTGACAAACTACAGGTGTTATACATTTCATCATCCCTAGCCTGCAAAATTAGCCTCATTTGAAGACAATAACAAGTATGACCCTCCCTTGCATTCTTTAGGCATACCTTTGCAGTGACTTATACAAAACATATGGTCTCCACAGTGTTCCAATCAACAAAACAAACTGCACCCAAGACTGAGGTGAAGAAAGCCAGCAAAACTACCATCAAGGCACCAAATGTTGGGTCAACTGAAGTACAATGGCTTTGAATTTGGTTACTGAGTGCAGACTGTACATGGAGTAAACAGAATAGTTGGGTTTCTATAACTCCTATCACAGATAGCACAAATCTGAAACAAACAAGATCACTAACTATTAGTATTACTGTAACATACCATGAATATCTTGAACCATGGTTTAAATGAGTCAATCAAAACAATGTTGACTCATACACTATGAAAATTCAACTTGATAACACCATTTTGGCTAACGAACATTCAAGTTATAACTATGACAGGGATAACAGTAATCAAATCCTTTGGTATCCAAAGATTAAACAAAACCTCGCCTTTCCAAATTCTTCTTGGTACAAGCTTTTCTGGAATTCTTAATCACATTATCTGTATTCTAAGGCGTGTCATGTGGCAGAGGAATGAAACCAGTCTTGGGGAAGTAGCCAGTGGCTTTAGGGCAGGAATCCAAGCATTCCATAGCAGAGTCGATCAGCCCTGGTATCCCTGGGGCCCAACTGGACCAACAGATACAAACTCTGACAGGTCACAACTGGATAGCTCTTGGTAAACAGAAACATGTCCAATGTCACAGTGAAAGCGCACTGACCTTCAAGAAAGTAGCAACAGTCACACCTTCATATGATTCTACAGATTCTTTGACAAATTCTAGCATACAAATAAAAGGGCTATACCCAGAGCATGATTTTCAATCATGTTTAAAAAAGCATTGACTATTTCTTGACTAACCACGTCCTAAAAAAAAAACAAACTGCAGATGGTGATTCCAGAACTGAACAGGAACTAGCCCAAAGTGGGTGTGGTCATCGAGTAGAAAGGGTCGTCCCCTTTTTATGATACACAGTAACCTTTATATCGACCATCAACAAGATTCCGGGTGTAACCATATCTTTGCCTGAATGCCTGTTCCTTCTTTTCAAACATCATTTCTCCTGGTGCCTGTCCAATTGTTACAGATGCTTCCTGTCCTTTTCAATGTATTAGAGAAAGTAGGGTAGTCTGTAGATTTTAAATTTACCAACTGGTGAAGAGATTGGCGCTGTGGGCACGAGCTTCCTTTGTTCTTTCCGTCTAGGGTCAGCCTACAATTTGACGCGTTTGCCAGATATCTATACGATAGGAGCAGAGAATGTGACGAGCCAATTTGCAGTAGATTCTTGTCACAAACGGACAGCGCTATGACGTAATGACTGCAGCTTTAGAACTCTATGACTGCATTGAAAGAATGAATAGTGTAATATGACTGCAACAGCTGAAACGTTAACATACATCCAGTAATATAATCAGTTGGTCAACTTGGTGAGCTTTTAGACAAGTGAAAATTGTTTAGGGTACAGAACCTGGCAGAATGCTGAATTCAGGTTCCTTGCCTATGGTTACCATTCCTTCCACTGAGGGAGGTGACCATGACATGACACAAGTGACCCAGCCCATTCAAGTTTCCCTCCTGGACTTGGATGACTTCCAAATAATGCATTGCCTCCAACCAGTGGCATACCCATACATGTGGCGGTGCACATGGGTCATTTGTTGAACTTTTAAGACTTGCATTTTTCTGGTAGCATCTGTTCAGAGGCAAGGGGAGCTATCTACAGGTCCAAAGATACACAGGTTTAGGCGAAAAGATCACAGGGTATCATTTTGACCAGTCTATTAATATTTGCTCTCTTGGAAGTCAGTAGATCTAGATAAGTTGTTGTTATTTTCTGAGACAGTCTTTAGCCACACTACGCTGACAGCATTTGAATGACAGTTACATTTGATTGACCCCATTTGTCAGTTCTGTGACTGCGGGTCTTCTTTTGGGTCATCAAATTAGATGTGAATGTAATTACCACCTTCCCCCAACCAGGTCACTCCTGCATATAAATTGCTCAACAGTAATACATATCCTACTTAGCTTTGTATAGGGACAAACCAGCTATTGCTGATGCTGCACCTAGTCAATAAAAGTTCTGGCCATTAACATGAATCAATATACTTAAACCATGCATTGTACCAAAATCTAATCAAAGTGCAGTGAACCTATCATACCTTGCTTCGGTTACATCAACATCAAAATGAAGAGGGTATTATCACTATTTCCTGCTCTACTCACGTACTGAACAGAGAAAAGGGGCTATTAGTACAACATACCTGCAACCTGGCCACACACAAACCATATAATCTTCAGGGGTCGAAATAACCCTCTGTGTGCAACTTGGTGCAAGTAAATTTGGTGTCGTGCAACTAATTTTTTGCCTGCTTGCACCATGGTGCAAGTTTGCTTTATCCACTGTTACTACCTGTAGAATTACCCAATAATATTGAACTGGAGTGGAAAGGAACAAAACCAGAATCCATGAAGTTTTTCTTCATTTTTTGTAAGTAACAGAAGGTTACTATCTTCGTCGCTGCCAGCGGATGTTTCCCATCACTTCTGTATTTTTGGAGGGTGCAACTATTTTTCTTCCGGTGCAAGTATTTTTCTTTTCATTTGCACCAGTGCAAGTTGGCCCCAAAATCTATTTCGACTCCTGATCTTACTAGAGCTAGAATGCACAGGCACATATTTCTACTACCACCTCATCCATTTCCATTTTTACTGCTGGCTGTTTGCCAAGGCAAACCCACTTGTTAAAGCAATCTGTTAGCTAGATGGCTTTTCAAAATGATGTCAATAAAGATTTCAACCATTTCTGCATGCGATTCAACTAGTTACCACCCAACAAAAAAAAATTTCTACATGTACTGCAAGGTCAACTGTACATTATGTTGGATCAGTCACAGAATACACAAATATCAATTCTGCAAAGTGGTGGAAAATTACCATGTCAAATTAATTTTCTCAAACCATCCCGGGTATGAAGTCTTGGGCATCTGGTTCTGATTGGAACTGAATTGTTCATTTTTTCCATTTCAAAACATCAATGTAGTACATGTTTTAAAGATATCAATTTCCTCAGCAGATATAAAATTTTGCTTTTAACACTAAGAATATGTGACAAAACTAAATATGAATTGTAATAATCGCTTTGTCTTGATGATACATGTAGATACATTTCCACCCTACACAAAAATGAACAGCAAACAAGAAGCCATAGGCGACAATTCTCCGTGAAGTTTTATATATTTCAACAAAATCCCAAGCGTCAACGCCAGACCTACTG